TTAGTATGCGTTAGTGAATGTTGTAACAACTCATTCGCTAACGCCCTAGACTGTTGTAAGGAGTGCAAATTCGCTATCGCTAGCGTTAGTATGCGTTAGTGAATGTTGTAACAACTCATTCGCTAACGCCCTAGACTGTTGTAAGGAGTGCAAATTTGCTACCGCGAACGTTAGTGAATGCTGTAACGATGTTTTTTCCCTAGCCCACTTGAACTTGGCAGCCTCGCCGATCAAGCAAGCGCTGCCCCACCCCAACCAACCTAAACAACAACAAACCAACAACATGTATGGAGTGCGGAAGTTTCTATGAAATCCAGTTTGGGTCCACAGCTACAAAACCGATATTTTTTTCAAATCAAATATTCAAATATGTTAAATACACCACAGAATACATGAATCACATGCATTTGACAAGGGTTGGTGTAGCCACATTAACTAATTTCTACGTGTTTTACAGTAACATGTTTGACGCGGGTTGGTGGGGGAAAAAGCGAAAATACAGGGTGAGCAAATGGCCGTTTCTGTACACTTTCTGCTGTCGACATCCATATGGATCAAATGGGTGGTTTTGCCTAGGGAGGCCTAGATTATATTGCTTCAATGATCAGATTCAATCAGTTGTTGCTGTCCGGGTGTTTTGACAAACCAAAACAGGCATGCGAGCATATCATAAGACTGATTGATGGGCCACATTGGACGCCAGTGAGGTGTAGAGAGGAACGCACTAGATGAGGGTTTTCCATGGTTTTCCCAAAAGCACTGTGATCAGTAATCACCTATGCACTGCCTGACAGGGAACCCCAGCAAGCACCGCTATGCACCAAATAGCACCGTACCGTCTTTTGTCTTCTCTAGTTCCAGTCCTTTGTCAAGGGCTCCACTATATAAGCACTGCAAACACACCCTAGCCCAGTCTTTGAGCGCTTTTCGCCAGGTTTCGAATCTTCACCAGCTTAGTTCTGCTTGTTTTGAAACGTATCCTCTTTTTCGTATTTTGACCTCCCCTGGTGAGGAGTCGGTGGACGACCGAACCGAGTCGCGGCGGCTTGACCGACCACGGGGCGTCCGTCAAGGGCTGGAGTTGACCGACCAAGCCCCCAAAGTTCATCCTCGGCGAAGCCAAGTTCAAGCGAAGTAGCGAGGCATCGAAGTGGAGAGCACCGATGCTAAGGCCCCACAAGGCTTCTATGAAGTGAGCCGTGCACCGGTCAACGGGCCACCGAGTGAAACGGAAGAAGAGCGGGCATGCATGCAGGTCAGCCTCTACATGTGGTCTGTGCATGATTAAGTATACGATTATTTGGCTGATTTGGGTGTGGCTCAAAAAGGCTGAAGAAACTAAGGCCCTGATCTTCCAATTTCCCACACTTGCGACGGTTCCAATGAGACGAAAACGGCAACACGGCAACACAGGTGACGTAGTCGCGATGGAACAAGGGAGAACGTGGATAAGTTGATGAGCCAAGGCATCATCTGAGCTCCATGATCCCCCACCAAACAATTTGAACTGCATTCCAGGACCTTCAAAGTGACCTTTTTGGATTCTCTATATAAGTGATCTCTTTAGGGACTAAGTGACCTCATTCTAGGATCTCAAAAGGTCACTTTGAAGGTCCTGGTTGAATTGTCATCCCATAAAGGGCCATAGGCATCAATCTGCGATGGTGATGCTTAATTCATTGTTTAATTCTAGACAAAATCAACCGTGATGCCATTCCAGTTGAATGAGATCGGCATGACACGCACGGCATTAAACATATTCTCTAAGCCGAAGCACACGGGAGGAGCCCACATGAGCTACCCCCAATCCACGAGAGAACAGTTGGGAACCCCCCGCCTCGTTGACCAAACGCGACATCCAATCCATCGCTGGGCATCACCCCACCCCATCCCCACCTATACCCATGGGCCCCATGCGAATCGCTGCGCTTCGAATGCCCGGGTGGCTTGTTGCGCCACGCAATGGCCATAGCTTCCAGGATGGATTTCATCCGGTGCCCAGCCCCGTCCGTGTGCTCCTACGGGTCGACCCACCGACCAGGTGGAGGTGCGAGATGAAGAGCAAGGGCTCATGCTGGAGTTGTTCACACAAGAATAGACACTACTCCAGCAGTAGCAACTGGAGTTGGTCTATAGTCATGCTGCTGTAATGAAGTCCAGTTCGACTATAGACCAACTCAAGTACAGGAAATTCCATGACTCGGGTCACCTAACGACTAGGTCGACCATCCTTTGTATAGTACACACGACCTCCGGTGTAATTACTCACCGAATCTCGGTGCGTAGAAAAAGGGTTTCACTGGGTCGGACTCATAGGGTCGAACTGATGCATCTTTAAGACAACCAAGAGAGGTAGCCAGTGACCTGAACTAGGACCCTATAGGGGTACCGAACTGGGATAGTCTAGTTCAGGTCCTTCAACCTCTGTTGGAAGCAGCGCTCCATTGGAAGGCAGGCCCCGATGGCTTTTTCGCAGATCGGAGGACACTTGGCGCAACTTGGATCCGTCACTGCGAGCCGCTAGCGGCTTGATCACCACAGGAGTCCATCAGCGCCTTCGAACCCGCGTGATGCACAGCCTCCTATTTCACGTGCAGCGTGTCTTTCAGTGCCTCCCCAAAGACTGGTGTTTGGACCCTCGACTCGAGGATGATAGGCACACCTTGTCAGCAACAAGCACACGTTCGAGGGTCTCGGATGGTATGTGTTTTTTTTATGGGAGTCTGGGAGGGGTCTTCTTCCCCCTTTCGAATTCGTCGCCCGACGTTCATCATCTTTCATCTGCCACCCGAAGACCACCTGCGCCACTACCTCCGCCCCGGTCTCCAGGATGAAAAGCTGTGGTGCACTTCGTTCGTGCAGCTGACACAGCGGCAGTTCGCAAACGGGATCGCTGCTTGTTGTGGTCAATCCAGAGCTGCTTGTGGTGCTGGTGGGTGGGCCTCTGTTGGGAGTGTTCGTTCCGGAACTCGGTGGAACTAGAAGCATCCAGTGAGAGATGTGTAACAGGGGCACTGGATATCCATTCATTAAGCATGCTGAGATGGAATTGCATGTTGTTGTTCAATCAGGTGAGTCGCTCAAATGGAACAAACCCAACAAGCAAACCGACACTCCTTAGACTCCTTGGACGGGCCGTTTGGCATCGGTATGCTCTAGGGGCACTACAGCCGGGCGCCAGGCCCAGGGAAGCTTCACAAGTCAGGCCGTTGAGACACCCATAGACAACCTAAATACAAAGCTCTTGGATGAGGTTCAAAGCATGGGTGATGGTCAAGCACCCATCAAATCCCCAAAACTGCATTGTTTGAAGACCGTGTGCAGGTGGAAGGTAGGTTCAGGTAGCTCACTAGCTGTCTTTTGGATCCAAAAAGATACAGTATGCCAAAACAAAATCATATTATATTGTTCAACTGTAACTTAGGAAACCCAACAGATCAACAGAGGTTGAAGAACCCACTGCAACAAAGGTTGAAGAACCCATTCCAAAACCGTCTCCTGTCAACAGGTCAATGAAAGAACCAACAGAGGTTGAAGAACCCGATCGACTGTCCCATAGGTACCCCAGGTTACGGGTCCTATAAGTGGTCACTTAACCTCTGTTGGAATTCACATCACTGATGACATCCAAAAGGGCCCACTGACCATCACCCCACTGCTAGCTGGCCAGCGGTGCTGGCGAGGCTTGGGTGACCCAAGAAAACACACCCGAGCTCGGGTGTGCCTCGACCCGGGTGTGTGGCGAGCTCGGTCGTTCCTGGGGATGTGAGAACATAGACTATATTATATCTCCCAGACGCTCCATGTACAGAGTGTATACCATATATGCCTACATTTGGGGTGGTTTGGGGGGTCAATGTAGGCATAAATGGCATACATGCAGTGTATGGGACTGGGTATGTCCAATTATTTCCAGGTTTCAGTGGATGATGATGGTTAAGTTCAAGACCCACGTCTCTACAAAAGAGTGATTGTTTTCCAATTGTGATTCAATACCCCCCCATATGTGTTTTCACATGTGAACACGTTTTGCAATCCAAATGGGGGGTCATTCAAGTCCAGCATTCCATGTCATTTCCATGTCCATTGTTTGGAAACTCCGGTCCGAAGAACACAGTCGAAGCCAAAGAGGAGTTCGTCCGTACGTCAGCGTTGGATTGGGATTTGGGGTCTTGGCCCACACTGCCCGCTCCGAACGGACCAAACAGCGGCTGCCAGTGAAGGAAGAAACCTTTCAGCCACAGCGGCGTGTGCTGCTCTGTTCTTGCACGGCACTTGAAGCTGGCCTCGGCTTTACAGCGTTTTGACGGCACGTCACCTCAGCGTTTTGACGGCACGTCACCTCAGTTTGCCTCTTCAGTGGGGAAAATGCTAGCTGCCCCCGCCCAAAAAATAAACACGGTTTTGCAGGTCGCGTTGTTCGGGACGTGAACACCACACCACACCAGGGTCGTTGGAAGTTCGGACGAACGGGATCATCCAAAGACCCAAAGGCACCGGGGCGGGCGCAAAGCGTGACGTCCGGCTGGAAAAAACCCGCTGCAGTTCGTTTCCTTTTTGGGGGGGACGCCGTAAAGCCACCGTAAAGTCCGAAGAAAGCACTGTGCATCATCTGCTCCCGACTCCGTTCCAAAATTGGAAAGGGCATATACGATGCCTATAGCCTCATAGCCAGATCATCAGTCTGCATGTCACATGTGACATCAGTCAGACTGGTCCCAGTCCCTTCTGGGCCCGTCCACCTGCGCTGGCCCGGCCTGGAGCCTTCGATGCGCTCCTCGCGTGGTGCCAGCGGGGCCTCTCACGCGAGGCGCTCGCGGCTCGCTGAAATGGTGAAACTTAAGGGAGTCGTCCTGAAAGAAGCCCCCGTGGGTGTGAATTCATTTAGACACGACATGGCATATGAATCCGTACAAACAGGGGTGGTTGAAAAGGGGTCAATGTAGGCATGTATACCATACATGGAGTGTCTGTCTATTAAATCAGGGAGAGCGCCCCTTGGAAAATTGACCAGTCTACCCATTAGGACCGGGGGTCTCCCTCTACCAGTCTGCACACCCAAGTCCATGCAGAAAGGATGTCCAGTCCAAGAGTCTATGTGAAGGGGGAAGCTTCGCACCCCAAAAGGCTCACAGGAGAAACAACTACTGATACTATGCTGTATGCGGGAATGGTCGGATACCAACATGTTAGCGTGGCCGAACTTGATCCCCTGCTTTTGAGGGCTTGGCACGTAGCTTGATTTGCTAATTAAGCAGCTGAGATCTGGATGATCAGCTCACATGCAAGGACTGATGCTGAGCTGTGTGAAGGCTTGGGGCCTTCGGGCCATCATTCTTCCTTCATTGCACCTGGCCGGTCCGTCACCGTCCCCCCCCCCCGCGCGCGGACCAATCCACGCCTCCGCCACGTCGCCCAGGCCGGGTGTGACCAACCAGCCACTCGAATCGGAGACCCAAAAGAGCCTCCGGATCGGTCAAGGTTCCGTTGCTGTTCGGATCGCTTGGGAATCATAGAGGGGTGTCGATTTGGGACGTGGTTGTTCAGAAAATGATTTAACTATTTGTGTACCTATTAATAGGTTGTTTACTGATCGCTTGGGGGTATTTTCTGGCCATCTATGGTTCAGGACAAACGTGGTATGCAAAAAACACATGTCACAGAATGCCTGCCGAGTTAGTTCGAGAAAAGTTCGAGATATGTATGACATGCTTCGCATGCAAGAGACACATTTCAGCAAACAAAGGCCCTACCGTCCTCCCAGTTCCCTTCCTTCAGATCTTGCAGTCTTCCCTCAAAAGTTCTTCTCTCAGTAAAGTCCCTTATAGTCGACTTGTAGTGGATTGAGAGGACCAATGGCACAGACCCCAATCTCGGTGGTCTATATGGACCCCCATCTAAAGAACATCATGGGGTCTGTGCCATCTACTCTGAAACCACTGTAGGTGGTTGATCCATGTCGATCCATGTTGATCCCAACTATGCCGTAGCTTGAATTTCTGTCCGCACGTTTTGGTCTCAGTCTGACTCAGTCTGCTGCGTCTTCGTTTTTCTTTGCATCGACGCCCAGTGACGCAGCTCCCACCAGAGCACCCAAACCTCACAGTGAGGCTCACCAGGCGACAGGCTGATGGGAGGCGTCTCTGGGGAGGACGCTCCTGCTGGTCATCTGATGCAGAATCAAACCAATTCGGTCGTCAAACCAATCTGTTTGGGTTTGTTTGGTGCACCAGTCGTCCCGCTACCCCCGGGACTAAGTGCTGGCCCATCGGAAAGCATGTGTTGGATGGGTTTGGGATGGTTTGGGACATCTGGCCAGATCATGCTATTGTGGCATGCGACCACCGCCCGGGCTGAGAGAACCCAGCCCGGGTGATACGTCGACACATGTCGACCAGTGTCAACCCAATCGGTTTCTCCGGTGGGGCTTCGATGGCCCGAGAAGAAGACCGCGACGAAGCCGTTTCCCTTCAAACCCGTGGCATGAAAGAATGGCCACCCGGTGAACATGGCCACAGCGACAGGTCATCTAGAAGCTGGCGTGTTTTTCACCAATGATCTGGACTCCGCCTGCACAGATCAACTGTGAGACTCACTATAATTTGATGGTTTCAACTCACTTACACAAATACACCCAGTACATGAGGACCACATGGCCCCCTGACGGGTTTGGACCTTTTGGGAAGGCGATTTACCTGACCTTAACCAACCCAGTGACCCAGTGGCTTTCAGGTTCCATGTGGGTCTGGGGTTGAGGGCGTACTGAGTCATACGAGTCAATGGGTTCAATATGAAATATATGCTTCAATCACCAGCTGGCGCTGGCCAGACTCGCCATGAACCTGGACCCGCCATTTCGGTGTCAACACTCTTTGTTGCACTGGGGCACCTTCATATTGAAGAGCTTGCACACGTTTTTACAGTCGTTGCAGGAATCAATGGCACAAAACCCAACATGCTTCCTTCTTCTTGTCCATATCGGGGGTTCATATGAACCACCCACGGACCAACAGGGCGACAAACCAGCACCCCAAAACAATCCCGTTCGAGGCTCCAGTCGTACGTTTTGAGAAGGTGGAACTGGGTGTTTGGGGTAGATGCCAGGAGGGTCAGTCATACCTTCAGGTACTTGGAGATTTGGAGCCTCAGGGAAAAACACAACTCTTGAAACAGCCAAGGCACCAAAATACGTCCAGGTTGATCGCAGCATTGGCACCAAGATCACGAGGCTTCCATGGCCACCATGTGGAGAATATTCCCTATTCCTACAGAATTCCTATACAAATGTCCAAAACAAAGCTACACGAAGGCCCCTAACCTTTAACCTTCTTTGTGGTTTTTGGTCACTAACATGCTCCCTATACCTAGGGGTGCACATATCATCAGGTTCATAGCAAACTGGGACAAAAACCATGAGTCAAAGGCTGTAATGCTCTTCCACATTTTCTCCTGTCACCCGTGTCCATGCAACGTGAGTCACCTTTAACAAAGCAGGGCTGTACTTTTGCTCCTTGTGCAGTCAGTATGAGCAAACCATGCCGCCATTAGGGTGTCGGAGTGTATGATTCATCATGCATTTGTCTTCTTGCGATTGACTAATTCAGCCTTCACCAGGGACTTGCCACATCATGCTCACATCACATCATTGCCAACACGCTACGTGTGCATCAGCGTCATCATGGACTGACCAGTGACTGAATCCGCGGGTGATCTCACCCCGAATCCACAAACGTTTTGCTTTCGCTGAATCACCCAAACGCTCCATGTATGGTACATGTCAGCCTACATTTGGGTGCTTTCAATGATCGTTTCAATCAATTTAGGTATACATCTTGCAGTCCCATGGAGTGGAGTTAGTGGTCCGAATGTGTGAAAGAATCCAAGATTTCTGCGTGGCTGGGTCATGATTAGGTCCTTGGGATCATCTTTCGGTGTTGCGATCCAGTGGGCCCCACACCGCCCGCGCGCGCGGGGCGCTTGTTTTCTCCTCATCTCCGCCGAGAGCGGGTGACCATTCCCTGCGCGCGCCAGCGCCAGCGCCTGCAACCGAGGGGGAGACAAGGTTGCTTGGGGGAAGACGGCACGTTTGTTTGGGTGCATCAACCATCATAATAGAATTGGTTTAAGTTTAAAGGAAACTTTACAGGAACCATATAGTTTTGGTGGTGAGCACGGTGGTTTCCTGCAGATGTTCCCTTTCACCAACCATAACCCATCCATGAGAAAGCAAATGCAAACATGGATTGTAAACTTCTTCATGTGGGGATGTTTTTGATCAAGCCTTCACATGATGAGATGAAACTTGGTGCTTGGTGGACCCTTTGGGGGCTGGAGCGTTGTCCACTGAGTCCACTGCGGTGTCTTGTTTTATGTTCTATATAATCCTCAAAGAGGTGGAGCAGAACCGGAATGTGTGTTCCAATCGCCCCCCCCAAAAAAAAGACAAGAGGAAAAGCATCGTCCCGGATAGAAGAACCCTGTGAGTGACTTCGTGACTTGAACCCAGCGATCAGTCTCATCATCATGAGGAAGAAGCTGAAGATCGCAGTGACCTGTGAGTTCCTCCCGCAGAGTAGCAGCTCCAAGGAGCGAGCTGGCTCTTTGCTTTGTGGAGAAGCACTGGAAACCCCCTCCAGTTGCTCCCTCCTCAGAGCACCCAACGAGGTTGGTGTTGCACTCGTGCACCCAGCCGGCGGGGATACTTTCCCCGACTGCCGATGGTTGCGGGATCAAGTGACCAACACAGGGAGCGGTTCCACGAACAGATTTCAAATCATGGGCCATGGGCGCCCTGGATGGATGTGACATTAGCTCCGACATGCTCCGACATCGTCGAGTCGACAGCTGAAGTAATTACACTCTGGCGTACTCACATGAAGGTCCTTGAAGCTGGAATAAAACCGTTGACATTGCGCGCAGGAAGGAATCTCAGCTTCCCGAGGTATATTCAGAATCTGCCGGAACCACCCCCCTCACCAGAGATTGCCTTGAGTGGTTGATATCGACTGTGCCGTAGACATCCTCAGTGGCTGGAGATGGCTGGGTCATGAAGGAGTCTCAAAGGACATGACCCAGCTGGAGTCTCCATGCCACTGAGTCCTTTGAGACTCATGATGGCTGGGTCATGTCCTTTGAGATGGCTGGAGTCTCTGGAGTCTCAAAGGACATTTTTGGAGCCTCAAAAGACCGGTCATAGACACCTGGGCTTGCTTCAAGCTGCCCTGCCAGCCGGTCCATGTCAACATGTCAGGAACGGTGTCGGGAACGGTGTCTCAAACGTGAGCTGAAGACATCCACCGAAAAAGAACGAAGCTCGGACATTGAGCTTGCTGCCCCAAACGAATCAACAGGTTGCTGCGTGTTCTTACTACACACAGATATATATATATATATATTTTTATTTTTAGTGAAGGGTGGATCTAGTGACTCTAGTTCCAGCTCAAAGGAAGGCATGGACGGTTCTGTCTGACGCGGCCAAAACAGAAGCATGCAGAAAAAACCAACAACAGCACACCACGGCACACCTTGCAAGAGAAAAATATATATAACATGAGGTATACGGTCCTCTTCTTACTCGAGAAACAAGGGGTCTTCCAAAAACAGCGGGTGCAGCAATTGACTGTTGTCATTACATGACGTCGTGCTGCATTCAACGTGTCACTCACTTCGTTCGTGCGCCACCTGCCAGCATCGACGGTATGACGACCTGGGCGCCCGCCACCAAGATGAACTTGTCTCTCCTCTGGAGAAGCAGCTTCTTCAACCTCGGTCTCTCCACCCTGCATCATCGGTCCCGGAGCCGGTCCGGGAGGTCCGAACATGCCGGCGTTTGGACAGATCTGCCCAAGCAAATGCAGTGAATCTGGCACTGATACCATGCGCAATGGGAACTAAGAACTGCGAGCGAGCTCACTCTGGAGCTTTGGTAGAAGTCTTGCTGGCCAGCTGGTAGAAGTATGTGTACAAGTCTTCCTGTCGAACGAATGCCTTTTAAGATCTATAAGACTCGAAGCCGTGGGCATCTGTTCATGAAGATCCCAAAGCTGATTCATTCTGACCACTTCCGGATCGAGAAAAAGGCGTGCGGCGCCATCGACGTCTCTGCAGGGGCGCGCGCGCGCGAAGAATTAGGCCTCCCAGCGAAGGGCTGTTCTTGGGCAGAGGCACTTGGTGACCCAAATGTCTTAGACTGCTGCGCCCAGAGCTGCGCAAATATGCCTCCATACAGCTGCTTGTGCGAGTGTGGGGGTTCTGCTGGAACCTGGAGTTTGGTTGGCATCATAACAATCAACCCCCGCAAACGAGTTCTCACACGTGGTTCCCGCGTCAAGTTCTTAACTTTCAGCCAGTGTCCCAAGACAAGACACCAATCCACCCCTGCCAATGTACTCTTTCTTCATCTACAAATGAGACGCTTTTCCACACTTGTTGGAGGGAATTGCCTCATGGACTCATGGAGTACAAAAACACATAGTTTTAGGGGTCTTTGGGTGGTTCCAGATATGTCGGATGCGAACCGATCGCATCAGCTCTCCAATTTCTCTCTCTCTTCCGACCATTTGTGGCGTCTCTGGCGGTTTCTGGCGGTCCGAGAACCGAATCAAGTCGGGTGCGTGGATGCACCCCGGTTCCAACCCGTGGTGAACTGCGCAGTGGACATTCTTTGGAAGAAACCCATGGCCTCATCTAAGGAAGACTCCCACAAATGTTCATGAACTTGTCAAAATGATATGATTCATACTTTAGAGTCTTTAGAGATCATCTGTGGAGGTCACATGGCAGCTTGCAGATCCTTCTTTTTGCTGGGCTCGCGAGATTCCTGAAGCCCTTCGCGGATTGCACTGTGCTTGTGGCTTTCTGGTCCCAAACACTTCCCCACATCCGTCTACCCAAAATGCTCTGGTTACCTGGATTTGCTGCACCTCACAAAAGGCCAAACAAAGCCGTTTTCCGATGTTTGTTTTTTGACCTGCACTTTGGGATTCCACCAACTGGGTGAGTTCTCTTCCAAAAGACTTCTATCCATCAACTCCACTTCGCTCGGGCCACAATCCTCCGCCGGCGTTGCTTAAGCCGCGTTCCTCCGGCGGAAAATTCCTTCCCACCTTCCTTTTGCGCATTTTTGTGCTAAAAATGCACAGCTTCCGACGGTCGGGAGGCCAGGCTTTGCACATCGCAAACGCTCTTGGAACGTTCGACGCGAACGCTCACCGTCACTGGGGGTATCCCCATTTGGGGAAGGGCTTCGTTTCATCTCCCAGACCCATCGAGTCTCGAATCTTCTCCTCAGCGCAAGGAGACGTGGTGCGGACGAGAGACAACCGCGCGGTGAAACCACGCGGAAACCGGGTTTGGTTGGCCGAACTCGGCTGTCGAAAGACATGCTGACTTTTACTTAATTGTACTCTAGGCCCTAAGTAGGGGGTTCTGTTCGGAATTCTCAGAGAGTGGAATTCACGTTCTTCCATTCAGGGCTCGATGCATCTGCCGGACCCATGAAGTTTTGCATCCATTGTCACAATGATGTAGGCTTAATATGTTTTCAGCCCCCAAGAGGCCTTGCAGAGCGAAACCTCCACGTCTGGTGGTTCACTCCCGAGGTGAAGCTGCCCAAGAAGAAAGCAGGAGGGTCGACTGTGATGGGACTCCCACAGAAACCCGCCAGGCACTTCTATACAGCAAAAGGATCGAACAATTGCCATAGGCCATAGGCATCCAGAAGAAACGCTTGGAACAACCACGAGCATCAACAAGCGCTTGTGCTTGGGACCGGTTTCCAGGACCCAGATCTGGTTCACTTCAACTGGTGAGTCTGTCCGGTTCCGGCCATGCGCCATGCGCGGGCCATGCGCGGTTCGTTTGTTGCGCGGAGCTCGTCCCTGCGTGTTGCGCGTCGAGGTGCCACTCGATCATCCTTCGCCAACTTCCGCAAGGCCGGCGCCTTCTCCTCGGCCCGATCGGCCGGTACTGAGGCGTTGCGAACCCCCCAGCTTTGACCTGGTAGGTTTGACTATAGTTCATGTGGTTCAGAGCAATGGTTTGACAATATACAGTATTGTTTGTATGTCTTAATTAACACATCTTAAGTGAATCTTAACACATCATGTGACTCATGTGGTTCAAGTTTTAGGACGCGACTCTCGTTTCACACAAGGACTCGCCGACTGTACCGAAGGATACCGAAGGACTTGGTCGTGGTAGGTGGTCATGACTTGGTGTATCAAGGATTCTCTTGGTGTGTTTCAAGCCTGCAGTAAGCAGGTGCCTTAGGGCATAACATTTTAAGA